TTAACTACATATTTACATTGAAATAAGTGTACACGCAGGTACACGCACGCACTCGCACTCGCACTTACCTATTTACTGTTTTTTTTTCTTGTAAACGTTTTTTAAAATTGTAAGCTTAGAGAAATTGGTCGATTATACAATAATTCTCTCCGTCGAGGTGAGTCGAGATAAGAGGGAGAAAGAGCAAAAAGTACAATATGGCGGGAGATTATTGCGCATTTTTCGCCAGCTAAACAATCACTACACATCTTATTCTCATCCAAGTAGAACGGAGTATCAAACAATTTATTCTCGTCGTTGTAATTTAACGCTTCATCGGAATATTCGAGTCCAACATGTGCATAGGAGCCATATGTAAGCTTCAAAATAGTGATTTTTGATTTTTTTTTCTTTAGTGGAAAAATTCGAAAAAGCTTTAGACACAAAAGTACATTTTAATGTAGACAACTTTTTTTGAGTGCATGTAAAATTGTCCGACAGAACTTTTCGACAAAAGATCGAGAGATTACGTGTATCGGAAATTAGATTATATCCGGTTCAGCGCACATATTGAACGTATGTGTGTGTGTGTGTGTGTGTGTGTTACACTTGTGAGCTGGAAGATCTCTTCTATCTCTGCTTGATTTTTGCGCGAATCTCAGGTATAATACGACGCTCTTTTTATGTTCGAAAGTCACATACAAATTGCTCGAGATACACAAATTACGATCTTCGTCGATACGAGATCTCTGCCGATCTCTCTCTTGCGGTCGCTGATAACTTGCGAGCGTACTACACTAGAAGCGGATTCGGGCATTTCTTTGAAGAGGATATTCTCGTATCATCGTTCCGTGATCTAGTTTGTGTGATGTATACGCTGCTGAGAATATAATCTCGTGGCTTGCTTCAGTACCGAGAGAGCGGCTCAATTGGGATGTTTAATGCTTCTTAAATCGGAGCGATTGAAAGATTGCCGCTGACGTTTCGGTGTGACAAACGCGCGCGATGACACGCAACGAGCGGTTTTTAGCAACAGAAACGTACAAACCCAGACAGCACAGATCTCTATAAGAGACGACTCTAAAAATCGTCTTTATTGTCTTTTAGACATGTGTGTTTAAGATCTGTCTTTTGGCCTTTGTGCTGTCTGGGGAAAAAACGTCTCCGCAAAAATGTAAATTGGCCCGATCGAGCTATACGGGGAAAATCTGCGAAGCAAGAGACGTGTATTTAAATTAGGCTACATGTGGTATATACACGTAACGCACGCGCGAGTTTAGGCGTTGAAACTTGAGCGGGATACTTGGACGAGCTTTTTTTGATTGTGGTCGATTCGTAGCGAATACCCTGTATACGTCAAAGCGAAATCTTAACTTAAAATTTCTCTTCCAAAGCAATATCTTCTCTCACGTTGTTTCCTGCGGTTTCCTCTCTATTTTCTGCACAATTTTCTCTCTCTCGAAAAAATGGAATTTTTACAAGTAATATATTTAACAATGAAATATCCTCGCAACACCGATTAGTTCTCAAAACTCTAAGTGCTATTATTATTATTATTATTATTAAAGAAGAACAATCTTTTCTTTTTATATTTTATAATATTTTACATTGCACGTGTTATTAAATAGAAGTTTTGTATCAATCAATCGGTTATGTGTAAATGTAAACTTTGTATTACTCACCTGAAAGATCCAATTATATTAATTAATATACATCTCGTCATTAATTTATCACATAATCGCTATCGCAGTTTACCGGTGTGTCATTATTATTTTTTCGATACAAGTTGCAAAATCTTCGTTTTAAATCAGAGACATATGTATTCAGAGCGAATAGATTCGTCAAATAATTAGCGCAAAATTCTGTTAAAACATATCACAGGGGAAGGAACAGAGCACGAATGTTAAATTACAGTGCAATATTGAAAAAATGTTCGCCGTATGTACATACATATGTATACATAGCCGTCACGCCGATTTAATAAGATACGAGCACCGTGTTTTCGTTCTTTTGTGAAACAAAACCAAGCAAGCACGCTTATTGTTATACTACTTGTGTGGCCCCCGTTGTGTTGCTCAGATTAATTATCGCGTCGGATGTATGTCGCTATTTAGGACCGTTTTTCGCATTTCATTCAAACCAGTCAATTAAACACTCGCTCTTGCCGGTAACTTCGTAAGACAAATAAAACAAAATAAAAAAAAAAAAAAAAATGTAATCAAAAATAAATAATTGCAATTCAATTTTTTGTGGCATATTTTCAAAAGAAAAAAAATAAAAAAACTAAAAACGACTTCTTTTCTTTTTTTTTTGTTCTTCAGAGATTTAGAAGAAAAATTAAAATTGTTTTTTAATATCAAGATCAAGTTGAAACATATTTCACGGAATCTTCATTACTCAACAAAATAAAGTCTCGGTCTCTTATCTCAGTCCGCTTTTAATATAAACTTGGATAATCATATTACGCACAAAGCACGCGCGTCGCGCAAACTTGTTGTGCTTATGCGTTTCAGGAAAAAGTAACGAGAAAAGTCGCATCTACATTTTTATAAAGTTGTACACGGTACCGGCTAAGAATACAATTTTCATTGATGACGCAAGAAAGCCTGTTCGCGCTTTATATGTTAAAATATGCTCCAAAAAGAAAATTAAAAAATGCTGATGATAAATGAAATATTTCGATGCGCTTTGTTCTGGAAATTTAAAATGAAAGTGGAGCGTGTGCCGGTAATGGCTATGTATAAAATGCACGGTACGCGCTATGTTGATGAGCAATAGAAAAGATAATTCCGTGACGCAAAAAAAGAAAATCTTTTTTTTTGTTTTTAAAGTCATCTTAAACCGAAGTCGCTACTGGTACTCGCTACTTATCATTAAACTATTTGCGATTTAATACTACGACTTATTGATTCATGCAATTAATTATTATCGCATATCAACAGCAATTGCGATTAACCGATGTTTATCATCTGCATGAGAAAATCCAACCTTTAATTACTGCCGCTTTTGAAAGGTCGCGCTAACCGAAAGTTAATCCGTGACCGACTATTAATTGAAACGCGAATAATCATTGTCCTCTATATAGATATACATATATTGTGTGGAAGCAAACAGAAGAGATACGAAACATGAAAATCAATTATTTCAGCAACGGGTAACAGTATGTGTGTTTATCTATTGAATATTTCGAAACTAAACTCTTTCCGAGGTGAAAGAGAGATATGAAATTTTACGTACAAAATATATAAAATATATTTCTTGTTGCAAAATGAAAGAGAAAGAGAGAGAGGCGAGAAAAACTTTCAACGGTTACGAGCGAACAAAACGAAGTCAAAACGACAGATGGAACATTATCACACGAGTTTTCCCGATTTTATCACGCAGTTTAATCACAGACGCGGGGAGAAAGGAGTTTTTCTCTCCCTTTAAAAAGCGCTCGTTTGCCGGCAAAATCGGCGCAAAGCGAAGTGAATGAGCGGTAGAATCGATTCAATAGAATAGCAGAGTAAAAAAACGAGAGCGAGAGAGAGAGCGAGAGAGAGAGAGAGAGAGAGAGAGAGAGAGAGAGAGAGAGAGAGAGAGAGAGAGAGAGAGAGAGAGAGAGAGTGACGTTAACAAAGGGAATATCACCACAGTTCGACAACGGAGCTTTCCGACATTCGTTGACGAGGGATTTGTATCCCCCCGCGTGTACATACAATCTCTCAGTCTGACACGTGTTACAGGATGTTACATCGTTTCTCGCGACAATAAAAAAAAAATTTCTGATCACGTTATATCGCGCCCTCACACGCGATAGTCTCAATCTGATAGACTGTTTTTAGCTTTGTATTCATCAAGCGCAAGTGTGTTGTGTGTGTATATTATATATGTATATATACAATATGTGTATATATATATATATGTATGTATATATATATATATATATGTATGTATGTATGTATGTATATATATGTATATATATATATATATACATGCATCGTTGGAATAAAATGCCAAACGTTTTTGTCGACGAGCTCGCACAAACGTCATTGCGCGAACGTAATTTAAATCGAGAGAGCTGATCGAGAGTCGAGCACCAAATCAATTATCCGCCCCGACACCCAATTTCACTCATTGCGCACATTCCCCAACAACAAATGCTATATATATATGTATATATATATACATACATATATATAGATATATATATATTGCATTTATATATATATATATATATATATATATAAATTTTATTCCGAAACGAGATCAAGTACGTTTCATGTACAGTAGTGACTGACATGCGAGTGTTTCGTGGGTTAGGCCAAGAGCTAACTTTGACCTATACGTTATTTCTTGATATTCGGGAATCCGTTTTCTGTCGCTAAGATATCCGAAACGAACTCTGTCATCTCTCCGATTTAACGGAATGAAGCGAAAACAAATAGATCTCTCTCTCTCTCTCTCTATCTCTATCTCGAAAGAAGAGAGCGAATCAAATCGAGAAAAAATATAATCAAGAAAGTGTACTCGCGCGCGCCTCGCGAGATTGTGATCGAAAAATCTAAGATAGAGATTATTTAAATATTCTTATATAAATCTCTTGAGAAAATATATATATATACATATTTTTTTTTTTGATTGTGATACTCTCTTGTATGCGATAAAGTAACAATTGCATTGCTCACACTCTTTTTTTGTGTTTCTTACGATAAACACTTTTCTTGAAGCACGTGTTTTTTTGTTTTTCTTTTTTTAATCGTTCGTTTGAGAAATAAAGAAATGAAGTGGCTCGATTGATCTTCGATTTTCGACCACGTCGATATTTTTCGACAATACATATCCGGATTTTCTCGATTCACTTGGCGAACTCTCCAAGTGGATAGCAATTACGACGGATCAAGGACGTGTCTCAAAAAACAAAAAAACAAAAAAAAACACAGAAATTCGCGGTGTGAGTCAAACCTGCTGACGAAGAATTTTCTCGTACAATTCTTGTCGTCGTCGTCGTCGTCGTCGTCGAATCATTATATCACTAATGGACGAATTCTTCCAATGAGAGGAAAATCTACGGCGGCGGCGATGACGATCATGGTTCTCATCTGATCGTAACTAGGGCACCATCAGCAGCACGATCAGACCCGTCAGCAGACAGAGGACAGAATTCTGCTCCAGAATCCTCGGCGATCCCGAGCTATCCACGGCGAACACGTCCGGACCGATGTCGTCGCTGCCGTCGAGGCACTCGAACTCGCAGCAACGCTCCCCCACACGGAACTTCTTACACTTCTGCGTAACAATCGCGACAAGAAATCGGTCAGTATTCGAGAAAAACTCGTAATTAAAAAATATCGGATATATATTCTCGAAAATCAATATCATATGACAATGTTATGTTTTAATCTAAAGCGTGAGCGCGCGCGCGTAGATTTGCGATCCGCTGCTGGAACAATGGTAAGTAGAACGAGCGAATGCCGTGTCGGGAAATATATGTCGTGCACGCGGTGAGGCGCACCGAGTTTCTCGAACAAGTGCCAGAGGTATTGTAATTGCGCGCAGCGGGATTTAACATTAAAAAAAAAAAAAAAAAAAAAAAACTCGTCATGTGCAAACAGCATGGGCCGCGCTCCGGGCCGTGTTGCCCTACACACAGGGCCGGAGACGGAAACGCATCGCGTCGCGGAAACGTTGATGCACGCAAACGCGCGCATGCATTTAACGCGTTCAACTGGTGTTCGTGAAGCAAAAAGATATTCCACATCGCGCACGCCACGTATGTCGCACGCGTGTATCATCGATTGAAAAATTTATTTTTTCTAGTAGATTCGAAACAACACAAGGCGCGTATATACGTTATTAAAATATTTAAAGATTGTTTGTTTGACAGCGAGGTGGTTTGAACGTCATACTCGGAAAAATTCGCATTTCGCGAAAAATCGTGCTCGTGAATTTTCTTCTTCCAACGTGTCCTAGCACTTGTAAGGTCACACACACGCGCGCGCGCGCGCATACATACGCTGGAGGAAATTTAATAAAGTAATTATTAACTGCCCGGCGAGCAATCGCATTAGCGTTCGATTAAAAGACGTCTTTTCGCTCGTTTCCTTCCTGAAAGGCGCAAATGAGATAAAAGTTATTAGGTAAAAAAGTATTTGACTAGATAAAAAAAAAAAAGAAGAACGACAAGAGGCTCACAATCAATTCCTTGATATCAAATCGGGGTATGTACGCGCAGTCATTCCGATTAGATAAGTATTGTTTCCGTCGTACATGTCAATTATAGCGTCATTAACGCTAATTAACATTGTTCCAATAATACAACAATATTCCGACAGTCAAGATCGTTGCTTGCCGGAACTCTGCAACACGTTTGCTACTTATTAGCGGTCACTGCTGATCATTAAAGTGTACGCGATGCACGTATGCCGCCGTTCGTGGAACTTTGCGCTACTTCGACAACGACGACGACGACGACGACGATGGCGGCGCGTGTACGACATTGATTTTAATCGGTGACGCGAGTACGTGAGAGAGTATAATTAAAATGCAGTTAGAGCAACGAGTGTGTATGTGGTGCGCTAAGGTTACAAGGTCACCGAGAGAAATGTGATTTATTTCGCAAAACCAACGCCGGCCGCTCCTTCCTCTTGTCGCCCTTTTCTTTTTTTTTTTTGTTTTGTTTTGTTTTTTCGTTGTGTTCCTTTTTTTATCCCGGTAAATTGCGTTTATCACCGCGCGTTGAGTGAAAACTGCTTTTACTGAACTCGCGCCGCGCGCAGTAATTAAAAAATACGGAGATTGAGGAGAAAACTGCTCATAAAAAATTCAGTCTGGAGAAAAAAGCTTCTCGCGAATTTCATGTTTAATTCACACGTCGGTTATTCTCTCTTCTTGATCGCAACCGCAACTTTGTCTTGCACTATCTTTGTGCAATAAAACTTAAAAATATACTTTTTTTTTTGTTAACAAAAACGACATACACCGGTGGTTATATATAGGTGCACCGCGTTGTAACATTTTCTCGGCGCGTTTGTTGAAAACACTTGTATTGTGCTATATGTGCGTACTTGATATAATTCATTATTTAAATACCGCTATCGCGTCATCTCTCGCAAACTGTCCCGAAGAGAGAATATACATCAGTACGTGATTTGTGACATTACGAGCACATGATGAAAAATCAAATGGTTATCTTAGACAGGCAACTATTTATATCAATTTCTCTCTTTCAATACTTTGATAAGATGCCTCAAATTATCTCTGTCTCACATATTATTATACAATAATAATAATAATTTTATTGAGCACCAGTACATATAAAGAGTAAAATAAAATAATAATTAAATTAATTAAAGCCGGAGATTCCAGGTTCGACTCCTGGCTGAGGAGTTTTTTTGCAATATTTTAAAATTAGTTAGGGTATACGGGGTCCTTTATATATATGTGATGCAAATCCAACATCCTATATGGAGGAAAAAAATTATTTCGAAGTATATATGTGTATACATATATATATATATTTAAAGCACAACATCCTGCGAACGGCTCTTCATGTGTGTGTGTGTGTCCCTATATTCATATATTATTAGTTTAATAAGACTTATAGAGCCTGAGAGTAATCTCGATTTATCACTAATTTGTTTTAAATTAATTAAACTAGAAAATATAACATAAACTAGAAAAATAAAAATAAACTAGAAAAAAAAGTAACAATGACTCAAAAGGCGAGACATCATCTGCTGATATGAAACCCTATCCGAACTATAGCCAACACCTAAATAGTACTGTAATTACTTTGTGGAAGAAATAAACAAAAATAAGACGCAGAAATAAACAAGGATATAATAAAGGATATGCGTATATATTTACAAACTAGTGTTCTCGACTACTCACATACGGTGGCGTGCAGTAAATAGCCTGACACCACATCGGTTCGGAATGATAGCAGACGCAGAGACTGCAAACTGCAGGTCCCGGCACGTAGAGAAGACCGTGTCTGACGGTGCCGCCCTGAAAATCCGTACAGTTTTCCTCGAGAGCTCCTGAAAATATTTTTTTTTTTTTTTTTTTACAATATTTCTCACGTTCCCGATCTGGCAACGATGTGTAACCCAGTTTTCCGCGATGCTGTAAATCCGCGTTCGCTCTTTTTGCTTACGCGACGTGTATCTCCCTTCCTTCTCCAATTAACCGCGAAAATCCGTTCAAAGTTAGAGACTGTCAATAATCGCAAATTAAATTCGCGTTCGGGTCTTATACGAAAGTTCTAACTCGTTTAACGGTTTTTAATTACTACGTTCTCTCTCTCTCAATTGAGACAGTTAGGAAGCTTTAATGAAGAGAAAAGTGTTTGAATCCCGGACTACTTCTTGCGCAGATAATATTTTGCAAAATTATCTCGAAGAGATTATTTTACTGTTTGTACGAGAATATGTTATTTAATCACGATCTTAATTGATCATTGTAAATGTGTGACAATCTTGACTTGAAAGTAATTTCTATTATTTCTACTTTTCGAGAAAAAGAGACAGAGAAAGAGATAAACTACAGCTCGTACATGTTGTAATCACTTGTTGTGACTTGAGTTTAGATTGTTTCGTGTCGCGTCTTACTTGTTCTCGCTGGTAGAGACAAAAGCGTGGACAAACAGAACGTCCATGTGAGGATAACCACGGAAGACCTCGTCATGATCTGCCGGTTGGTCGCTTCGAAAAAACGGTGCTCGGACAAATAACGTTTCTCTCTCTCGTCGCAATCGGCAAACGTCGTCCGACTATTGCAGCGACCTCCGCTCGTGCACTGACTGCAGCAGGAACACGTTGCCTATGCGATAGAATCAGGATACATTTGTCACTATATTACGTCAATTTTGCGTAGGTCTCTAATGGATCGTAACCGCGCGATAATTGCCATCGCGACCTTAAAGAACGATTGCGAAATTCGCGAGAAACACGGAATAGCTTCATGATCATGACCGGAATGGCTTCATAACCGCTGCAGACGATTATCGCGCAGTGCGTAAACAGCGCGTCCTTGCCTCCGGGAACTTTGAACCTTCAAACAGACGCAACTTCACTTGCAAATTGATAAATTAAATGCGCGATGTGTGTATATCGATTTCTCATGTAAAATAAAATATTATTTAACAATCATGTTTTTTGCTCTAGTTCTACAAGTTCTAAATATCTTTATATACAAATATAAAAACTGCACTGTTATTATTATATTTTCCTTTTGTCCCCTATCCTAATTGTATCCTTTCATGATTGCACATAAGCAATATCTTTGAAAATTTTTCCATTGTTTACATATATTCTTTAAAAAAATATAAAATTTCTTCTCGATACATGATAAATATATATAATATATGCGTGATCGGAATTATATATTAAAATGAAACTCTTTCTCCGAAATTGGCGAAAGTTTCTCTTGTAAGTTCCGCATTTCGAGTTTTTTTTTATCGACAAAAGCTTTTTTCTTCTCAATCTTGAAAACTACAATCCGAGTCCAAGTTCGAGATATAGCTAGCCCTCTGCGATGTTGACGCAACGCGTTCCGCCACTGCCAAGTGTTACACAGGGTGTAAATGGATTTGTTTAACGTGCCAAAAAGATTAGCGATTGGAGAATTAAAATATAATAATTACCTAAGCAGTACCTTGTTTTTTTTTTTTTTTTTTTTTTTTGACGTTGTTTACGCGCAAAATAATATTTGTCTGTTCTGCGACAACGCGGAAACCCAATTGAAATTCTATTTCTACGTATCTATAGAGTGTCGGAACTTACGTCGAAAATTACGTTAAAAGTCCTGTGCCAACGCGGATTTTATCGTTAACCAAGTAAGGTCATGCGAAAACGTGAATAAAGTCTTCTCGCATCGATCGTCAAAACGATGCGTATTCAAAGCTGCCGCACAATCCCGGGATTCGCGCATGCAAAGACAAACTTCGTCATGTCACGTTGCTCGTGTTTGAATTGCTGTGTATATACGTAGATTCAATCAGCAGCTTTCGCGCGGATTTTCCATCATCTGATTATAATGCAAAGATATGCCAGAGTAAAACACTCAAAAAGCGATACGCTCAAATATATATCTGTCGCATGCCCCTTCCCTCCCTCTACATACACACGCGACATATTGCGGAATAAACGATAATGCGAAAAAAAGATTTGAACAGCTTTTCAATTTAAAAAGAAGTATTATGTGATACACAGAGAGAAATACGAAAAGTTTTATTAATTCTATCAACTGGCCGTACCTATATTTTCTCATTTCCCCCGTTTATTTATAAATAAATAAATAAAATGTGCTGTAGAATCGAAGTTCTTATTACGTGCAAGTTTTCTTGGCTGTAGTAACGCAAACATATAGACGCGCGACTATAAATAACCGTCGAGGTTTATTCTTACAATTTAAACAAACTGTAAACACCGGTCTTGTTTTTTTGTTTTTTAACAACTTATATTCGGAATTTTCGAAATTAAAATTTAAGAAATAAAATTGGTGCTTTTAGAATATAATTAATTTTCCCGATAAAACACAACAACAGCAAAGAGTGGATCTGTACGATCGATTCATTGACAAGTAATAAGCAATAATAAATGACAAATGGCTATTGAAGAATTAATATCAGCAATTAATTATGAATTATGTATGTTTGATTCACATAATTCAAGGAATTCGAACACAATGGTGAATTCATATTAAAATAATAATAGGACGATGTCATGATTGAGTGGATTTGTGTACATACGTTTCGGTGCATTTCCAACCATTTCTGATTTTTACATTTCTGTTATATGCAAATAAAAAAGCAAGTGCTTATGAAAAATTCTCTCAGTAATCTCGGAGACCCATGTTAAAGATTAATATATATATATATATGCAATAAATCGCGTTGACTCGGACGAGAGAAGTCGTCGGTGCAGTTAAATGCAAAGTTAATTCTTGAAATAACAAACAACAAAACAAAAAAAAAAAAAAAGAAGAAAGGAAAACCAGAGGCAAAGGAAAATTTAAGGGTTTATTCGCGCGAAAAATGATGTCAACGACACGCTTTCTTGCTTGTCACGAAATCGCGCGCTGGTTCCAAACCGTCGCCGATCACAAGAGCGCGCGAAGGACTGACGTCACACAAGCTTCCGACGATTACCGTTTGTAATAAGTTCGCAGCCGACACGGCCGACGGGGGAACGGGACCAATTTGAGTGAGTTCGCCATGCAACGGGTGGCCGTCCGTTATCCAGGCCGGCCGGAAATAAATCCGCATAGTAATTTATGCACTATACGAGCGAGCGTGGGTGGTTGAAGAAAAGGGGAGTAAAGTACCTCTACCTTCGTGCTGCATCGCGCACCGCTGAACCACCCCCTTTACATCGTCCCTCGTGCGTTGCTCTCTCGCGTGCACGTGTGTTTCGTCTCTTCCTCAACGAGATCACGCACGATGATGACTGAAAGCGTTATATCTCGAACGCGATTACGCGATCTATTTTGTGAAAAGAGAAAAGTGAGTTATTTTGCGGACGGGATAGAGTAACAATGGAAAAAAGAAAAAGAGTTAGTGTGTGCAAGTGTATAAGTGTGTATGTATGTGTGGGTGTGTGTGTGTGTGTGTGAGTGTGCAGATGTGCACCGGCTGCGTGTTTCTTGTGAGACCGCAAAGAAGCTCAACGCGATGCAGTTACTCGCAGCGGCACCGACCGACTGACTGAACTCCTGAACTCTGTCGCAGTACGCGCTCGTTTCTCTCGCGCAGGTCGATCGAACACTTTCTATGCACCGCGCCTCGGTCTCCCTCTTCCTCATCCCTCTCGTCCCTTCCTCTCTCTTCAACCACATCGTGAGGAAGCCACCCCCATGGAAGCGCAACGCACCTATCACCGTCGCTATCAGCAACGTAAAAAAAAAAAAAACTCAAACTTTCGTACAGCAACTGTAGTCGTCGTCATGCGATACTTTCAATTAGTCGTGTGCTCCTTTTAATTAAGTCGCGGTAATGGGAATTGCTAAAACTAATTTTGAGAACATGAGTAAAGCAGAGACTGGAACAGGGTGCAAAGCCAAAAGACGTTTCTCTGTGAGAAAAATATATTTAATATTCTTTATTAAAGAGAGAAAGCTCGTAAATTTCGTCGCGTAGCAAAAATGTCAAGGTGAAAATAAAATCGCAACTACTCAATAACCAAAGAATTCGTTCAATTCAAATAAGACGTACATATTGGATTGGATTTTTCTTTTAATTTTTCTTTTAATATTAATTATTTTTTAATCACTAAAATGTGATCTGTACCATATGAAATTGAATATCTAAATATTTTACAGGTAACAAAAATAGAAAGTAAATGAATGTCACAAGTTGAACACTATTGTTATATAAACTAAAAAAGAACTTGAAAATTTTTCAAACAATCACGACCGGACGGTACCAACTAAAAGTATTTTTGCACAACAGTTGTGATCGGGCGATTTTCGACATCTTTTTTTTCAAAAATAGTAGCATTAAAAAAAACTAATTTTTTACTGGAAACACCGATGCGCAATTTTTGAGTGGGTCTGGGAGATCTATGTCTGTCCGCGAAGAATTAATTTATATCTGAAGGTTGATAGAGTTGCTGGATTTTTACGTTACGATTTTACATAAATGTTTTTATAGTAATGAAAAAAATTCTCGGGTGATGAAAAATTAAATCTTAATTAATCGGAGCATTTGTTGATAAACGTGACTCATCTCTACTTATGTGTTCTCTTATTCTGCTAATAATCTCGGATTACTCTATACTTTAGAAACGCCGCCGCGTCGCATCGACATCGTCATAGCAACCGCAGGATTCTACGTACTCCTTTTCTTTTCAAACAAGCAAGCATCAACTAACCAAAGGAGCGTAAAAGCAGAACTGCTTGCCGTGGAGGAGAATTAATTAACCTGGCGAGTTTCAGCATCGGGTTTCGACGTTCTAAGAAGATAGTAATTTCAGTAATTTCTTCAACGCGATCATGAATGACTGCCTCTCATTGAACGGGATTGTCGGCCGTGCTGCTCATGTGGCGCGTGAGAAGGTGAGAGAGAAATACGAGAGATAAAAACGCGAGAGATAACAACGCGTTTTACAACAAGATGTTAATTGCTCGAACTCGATATTCCCTCGACATTCTGTTTTTAATATTACAATCAGACACGGCAAGTAAGTAACCCCACCAAGCCAAAAACCGCCTGGTTTCCATCGCTACGATAAACATCGCCACGATAAGCGTTCCACTGTGCGCCTGTTGAGATGATATTTTCAAATCGTAGAGAGAACATTATTAGTTTTTGTTTTGTTAATTCACATCATATAGCTATTTTCAAACAGGAGAAGTTAATTACAGCGAGATTTAAAAATGAACACATTGATTTTCAATAAACAGGAGGAGAAACGCATTCAAGAGCGTCGGCGTCATCTTCTTTATCTCATTGTTGCCTTTTTGCGGGAGCAAGGGTGAGTAAATTTACGTATCCGAGATATTTCGCGCTCAACCATCGATTGGCTTGGTAATGTGAAAGTGAAAGTTTTCTTACAGATACTGCAATTCCGCCGAGCATCTCTTCAAGGAAGCTCAGCTCTCACGGGACATTCACATATGCGACAATATCGATCTGGAGACCATCGTTCTCGAGTACGTCGACTGTTATTACGCCAAGTACAACAGATATCCGAGGTTGTGCAAACAAACGGAGGTCACGGGGAACGTCGCGCAAAATACGTACGAAAAGAAAATACACGATATTTAGTTCGCAAAATACAAATGTAAATAGGTGCGCGAATTACGAGATGTTTAATAAATGATTGTAGCAACAACAAGAAGGAGAAATCCTCCAAGGTTCTCAATCCGAGACAAGAAGACGGTCGCGAGGAAAGCAACAACACGACGAGCAAACACAAGATCGCACAGAAGCAACCCCCGTGGAACGAACTGAATCTCGGGATCACGGTGACGCCTATTTTTCCCGCGGAAAGCGGAGATCGAGCGGGGATCGCGCAAGCACCAACGTACGAAACGCTCGCTGACGCGGAAAGACCATCGAGATCCATCGATGATCTCTATCCGCTCGGGTCCGAGCTGAGAGAGATCGCCGACGTCATATCACGGGTGAGAGACGGAAAAATGCACATTAAAAAAAAAAAAAAAAAAAAAAAAAAAAAAAAAAAAAAAAAAAAAAAAAAAAAAAAAAAAAAAGAAAAAACAAGACAAGAGAAAACAAAAGATTAAACGTAACAATGCGCGCAGGAAATCGTGCAACAAAATCTGAACGTCCACTGGGACGACGTGAGAGGACTGAAGGATTGCAAGACGTTATTAAAGGAAGCTATAGTGTATCCCATCAAATATCCAAGCTTATTTAACGGTAAACTCGGTTCTTGCAAGGGTGTATTGTTGTACGGTCCGCCGGGAACTGGTACGTAATCGCGACATTATTTATTGGTTCATTGAAAAGAGGAAAAAAAAAAAACAAAATTGACAGAAGTCTAACTGTGATCCTCTTGAACACAGGCAAGACAATGCTCGCGAAAGCGATCGCCACCGAGTGCCAATCGACCTTCTTCAACATCACTTCCAGTTCCGTCATCAGTAAGTGGAGGGGTGACACAGAAAAATATATTCGCGTAAGCAGAAGAATATACGTCGAGGCGATTGACAAAGTGTCTGTAACGACGCACAGACGATAGTATCTGTTGTCTATTACTGTTGTCGCAAGTTCCATCTTTCGAAAGAACAAACGGTAAATGTTTACAATAGGGTAGACCCCTCCAATCGGCTTCTTGTTTTGATACATTGTAAATATGACCTTCCTGAGTACGTTTCTAAAAGTTTTATCTGTCGCTCATTGTTTATAAAAAATTTATGAACAAAAAAAGTTTGATGACTAAACTTGTTTTCTGATACCGTGTACATTTTTTGTGTGTTGTAAACATGTAGGCAGGGGGGGAGCTTTGCCCCTCCCCTCTGCTCCCCCTTCGGGAAAAAATAGGGTAAATGTTTACAATAGGGGAGACCCTTCCGATCGGCTTTTCGTTTTGATACATTATAAATATGACCGCTGTTGCTCAAAAATTTCTTTCCACCAAACTACATTTTTTTAGATTCGGAAACAAATCAGAAATTGCACGGGACCACATGTGGCGAATAAGACGGACACGAGACAGCAGTCCGAAGTCCAACTCGTAAATTCTGATGGTTGCAATAGTTGAAGTGTGAACTGATTCATTGGCAAAAATCATTGAATATCTTTAACAAATTTTCACATAAACACGTGCCCCAGCGTTTGACAGTTGTTCTTTTAAAAGATGAAACTTGTCAACAATGATGATACTGTTGTCGTTATCTACGCATCGTTTCGGATACTTATCAATCGCTTCATATATAATGACCGCGTTTGAGAGAGATAACTCGCTTTAGCTTGTGCTAAAAATCCAGCTTTTTAGTCATTTTACCTCTATCGCTCATTAAATGCGGAAAACGAATTGGTAACGCTTTTATCGCAAAAGCGCATGGACGTCCACAGGGAAGGGGCAAACTCGGCATTTGCCTTTCCCTGAAGAGACGAGTTTTTTCACAAATTGTGATTTTTATCTTGAAACAAGTTTGAAATTCTTAATTAACAAATTAAATCATACATCTATTCGTGAAAACTCTCTGTACAGTGAAACCTTACTGTAAAATTCATAATTTTTAGGACGGAAAAAGTGCTCCGCCCTTCCCTGAAAAAAATCCTACGGACGCCCACGCAAAAGCGATAGTCGTTCGAACACGGCCAATATCTAATTAAATGCTCGCTGTTTTGTTTTATAGCTTTATATAAATCTTTGTGTTTTATGAATTTCATAAAATATTCATTTCCAAAAGAAAAAAACGTTTCTCGAAAATCCAAAAAACAAAAACGTTCTAATTAAATGCAGGTGCTCATCGATCTCGCTAAACATTACGCACCTACGATCATTTTCATCGACGAGATCGATTGGACGATTACGAAGAACACAGATTCATCAAGCTCGGAACCTGCCAGAAGATTTCGAGCGGAATTGCTCGCTAGATTAGACGGATTATTATCGATGGAATACACGAACGTAATACTATTAGCGGCTACAAATGTTCCTTGGTAAGCGAACCGCATAATTTGTATTACCGATTGAACAAAACTAATTTCTGATCGTTATTAAAAATTGAAAAACTTAGAAAATACTTTTTAGAAAGAAAAAAAAACACTAAATAGAAAATAGTATACACATGATTTTTTTCAAAATAAAAATATTCACATTTCAAACATTCACGATTCAAAAATTCATTTATAAAAAATTGTTTTATTTTCTTTTGTTATCAAAAATTCTCTAATTACTGTATCGTTGAATTTTTGCATTTAAATATAATTGTTATATCTTTTATATTTAGGAACATAGATATCGCCTTACTGAGACGACTAGAAAAACGGATTTTTGTGGATTTACCGGACAAAGCTAGTAGATTGGAAATTTTGCGATTTTACGTATGCGACCGTCTGCATCACTCGCCGGAAATGTTGAAACTTGCGCAAGAGACCGCAGGATATTCTTGTGCCGATCTGAAATTGCTATGCAAGGAGGCATGGATCAATCAATTGCGGCCTGTTCTATCGAGTCTTGAAACCAAGAAAGTTTCCGTGAACAATGTTGAAAACGACGATTTAATTATCGCGATAGATTTCATTTTACTCGCTAAGCAAAACGTAAAACCCATTTCTAAGCATATGAGCGCACAATATATAGAATGGCATAAGGAGTTCGGTTCTTCTCGATAAAGGAAGAAAAAAGTGAGGAAAGCTCGGACTGTTCGGCTAAAAAACAAATGTAACGCAAATATTTTTTTGCATATTATTTTGTAAATGATATATATTGTAGTGTGATTTTTCTGTTTTAAATAATACTCCAATTAAAAACATAGAATAAATATCAATATCTCTCAACATATAAAATCATATGTATATATAGCAAGAAGATATTTAAAGAAAAAAAGCTTATTGATACCTAAATTACGGGAACAATGCAGAATACAAAAGATGGGTTGTAGAAAAATAAAGATTACGATGACACATGTCAATGACAGTTTCTTTTTTTCTGATGATTGAGCTTGGCTTGCTGTAATCCGTGATAATAACCTTGATACAGAAGAAAAAATTATGATATTAAGTATATAATACAATACGTATCTTGAGAGTGTAGCTGAGTAGCATATTTATGTAATATAAAAATATGCTACTCATCTAATTATGTGTTCTTTAGAATTTTTAACACTTGTAAAATATTACCTGTGTGAAATCCACTTATGTACCATGACATCAACATACTAGACAGAGCATCAGCATCTGTGTCAGGCAATCTGCCGAAATAATAACCATGTATAATTTACAAGACAAGTTCAACTTTTACATATATTTCTAAATTAATCTTCTTACTTAGCCATCAACTGCGGTGGTAAGGGTGGCGGGGGTGGTACTGCTGAACGAGTGTTCGATGTTGCCAAATTGGAATATCCATGTCGAGGATTCTTAGAATTATATCTAAACTTTTGATCTTCAGTATCACAATCCATATTTTCATTAATTTTAACACTGAATTTCTGATGAGTCGAATAACCTGAAGTATCAGAATCTGCAGTTTCTTCATCCGCAGCGTTTTCCACTAGCGCATCTTTCTGCTGTGCAATCTGACTTTCCAATCCTTCAGATTCCAGAAGAGAACTCAATTTTACTTTTTCTGTATTGTTGTATCCTGCATAAATTATCTTGTTGATAAAAAACATTGTTATTATTACTATTTGATATTAATTCTCATGGGCAAAATAGTTACCAATGAATTGTACTGTGCACAGCCCATTTTCATGAATTTTCTTTACAATAGCTTCATAAACTTTTCCATCCGCTGAATATACTGCACGACATGGTGCACCAGGAGTCCATTTCTATTTAAAAAATACATACGTAATAACAAAATATGAAGTTTCATCTTTTTTACTAAAAAAAAAAAACTGGCAATGCAAATATAGCATGTCATACTTTGCACTGGTTTGTGTAAGATTTAGGTGACTTCTGGTTTGTTTGCTGACTTTGATCATCTCTGGCAATGCGCTTTGCTACTTCTTCCTTAGCCAAACTTATAGCTTTGTCATATGCTTCTATCAAAACTGTATCATCCCAAACATTTTCGTCATTTTCACTCTCCTACAAATCAATATTATTTGTACAATTCTAGTATTTTCAGTAGTAGTTTTGAGTTATTTGTTATTGCCTACTTTTTTCCCACACACACACAATCATGTTATTTTTATACTTAAATAGTTATATCTTTAATAGTTAAAAACACAACTTTTCTGTACAAATATTATATATATATATATATATATNAGATTTCTCTCGATTCATGTATTTGTCTTTCTCTCGTATATCATAATCGGACTGTTCTCGCAGTCTCGGCGTAAAATATATTTACAAAAGAGATTGTTTTCTAGTAGATAGGATAGGTTATATTAAGAGGAATTTTAAATTATTCTTTCACATACGTTTTCTTCTCCTCTCACGAAAAGCAGAGTGTTTTCGTTCGGCATTCTACTTTAATTCCCGTAAGAACTTAGACAATCTTAGTTTAAACAAAATTGATTTTTTTGTAGCAGTGTACAAACATGTACAATTTTCTAGTTACACTCTGAATCTATATATTAAATGCTGAATATCTATTATATTAATCTATACAGCTTTGTTGACGCGCTAATCTGAAATTTACTAAAAGATAGAAACTATTTAATATATGAAAATCGTAAATCACTTAAAATATTTAAAATACACAAGAACAACAGCACGCTTACTTTTTTAATCTTTATACTAGGTTAGGGTTAAACGGGATGAATGTTGCATTCATCTAGAACTAAAATGGAACTAGACAGATAACGTCGCGCATGCGTGTTTATTTCTGTCCACGCGGTCGTATCATCGGCTAATGGCTGCGTTCAGCAGAATTAATTTTTGTCTCGATTTTGAGTCTCGATTCAGTTCGCCGATCAATCGATACACTCGATTGAAAGGGACCGGCCCGGGAAAAATCCTTAAGTGTTGAGCGGATTTGAATCTGGGACTTCCCCGGATTCGCAAGTCCCTGCACTCAGGCCGCGAGACCACTGACAATGAGCCGTTGCAGCTTTATGCAGCTTTACGTAAAACTTGTTCTTCACGCGATTTTTTTCATACGTGTTTTCATACAAAGCTGTGTTCCGTTCCACGCATATGCGCGCATTTATCTATACTGTGCGTGACGTGTATTATAGATAAATGCGCGCATATGCGTGAAACGGATGCGCAGCCCAAGTCGAACACTACGGCGCGGATTTTACGAAAAAAAAATTAAGATTCTTTTAATCAAATGACAAAAAGTCTAGTGTTCGCATTTACTTTTTTGTTTTTAAATATATTGTAGTTTTTTTTATTTTATGACGTTCTCGTGATTTGCAAACATAAAGGTATATCGATGATATTCGGAAATTAACATCACCTGGCAATTGATAGATAGGTAGTATGCTCCGGAGCATACGCAACAGGATCGGGGAGCCATCTTCTCATTTCTTCTTTTCCACTTCTCTTCTCGACTTCTTTCAATTTCTGCTAATCCTGCATTTCAATTCCTGTATTTCTTGCAACTCCTGCGTTTGTTCGTTCCCTCTTGCTTAACTGGACACAGCCACGGATTTGCAGAAAAAGGCCAATCACAAGCAATAGGTGCAAAGCGCTGAGTTCTGTTGAACGCAGCCAATGATTACGTTCAGCAAACTCAACAGCTACATACACAACGGTTGAGAGATGATCACTTATGATTGGATCATATTTTTGAGACTGTGGCAGGTTTTTAGTATTGGTTCTAAGTACAAGTGACGATCTCTCACTCGTTGTGCAACTGATGAGTTTTCTGAACGTAACTAATGATTCTCTTTACAAAAAATATACAATTGTTGTATACTGTGACACAACGTACCTTTGCTGCGGAACAAGCTGCGTTGTTAACATTATTTTTTATTTCTATTCTTATGTTTGCAACTATTTTTATTGTTCAAACTAGCATTGAAAGTTGCACAAATTTAATAAAGATATTTTATTCAAAAAGTAATGTTTGTAATTGAACATCACCGCACAAATATAAAGTAAATTATAATCTCAAAGATCACAAACTTTGTTGTCATATGTATATAGTCTTTACACATGAAGTTGCATCTTCATTGTTTGTTAGACGTTTTTTGACGCACCTTTCGTGTGGAATTAAATAAAAATATTATCAAAGAAACTGTTAAGTTTAGTAAAACTATTTTTTAAATTTTTTCAATCTTAACGTATGCAATACATTATATTGATTATTGCAATAACAATAATTGCGCGTATATATTGTGTATTTTTTTATAATAAGTCAAAACGGAACCTTATAGAAATAGTTCCTGAGCCTAAAAAGATTAGTGTTTTCTTGCATAAACACCACTTTGAAAAACAAAGTTTCAATGTCTAACTTTTCCGCAAGTCATCCCATTTGTACTGTAATATTCGTCGAAGTCTAGAAAATAACTTATCATTTTTTATTACAATTCTCATTTTGTGTTTTTCTTTCTCGAACATCTTTTTTGTTCTACTAACTATAAAAAAATATATAATTTCAAGTTAAACAAATATATATGTATATATAATTTTTATCACAATAATACACGTATATCTCGCGTGTTTATCGTGATCGTGACAGATTTGTTCACAATGGCGATAGTAGAGTATCAAGAAAATTTATGAGAATGAACTTCCGGTATATAAACTGATGACGCTTCCGGCCAGTCGGCGAAACGCGTTGCATCACGAGCAGTAAAAGCAACAATACGTTCCGCCGATTGGTTGATCGTTTTGCATATAATTTTCCTCAGTTGTAGCTTCCTAAGTGTATATAAATCAGAATTACATAACGTCATCAGACTACAATACAAGTGTCGTCCAGAACTATCTACACACAATTTAAGTTCAAAATGTACTATTTAAACAATATATGTAAGTTTTTTAAGTATTTATGTATGTAAAATATATCTTGGTAGTGTCAAAACAGATCACCACATCTAACAATCAAAGGCAGATCTGAAACGAATTCTTTTCAAAACACACGTCGAAGATGTTCTTGCTAAGATAAATTTCTTTTCACATATGTTTATCCGCAAAATATTAGGTATTTTTTTTATATTTATTATATCATATTTATATTATGTATTTATTATATTATATTTATATTATACTTTTTTTATTATCTGACAAATATCGAGGTAGTAACTTTTATTGTTGTAAAAACACAACTTCTTGTCTAAAGTAGAGAAAAGCCTGTGTCTTTGATTCTGTATAGGATCCTGTATATGTTCTATATACTCGTTTTAACCAGTTCCTCTCTCGAAAACGCAATTGCAAAATAATTTTATCGCTCTGAATTGTGTGTTCATTCTTTGGTATATTTGAACTGCCATACGTATGTATTTTCTACGTTAATTGAAACGATGCTTGTATGTACGCGTTACGCGATTCGTTCCGATCGCGTCTGTTCAAACATGACTGTCATCAGATCTTTTCAATGTCAATTTTTCTCTCGATGCATCCGATTATGTTATCACGTAATACACATATGTATATATAAATGACGATTTGCACATTCTCGTCGGAATATATAATTCAATACAAAAAACATAATATTAGAAAATACAACAAACCTCAATATTTTTGTATATAACAGTAAAAAATGTTTAAAAGACGACATTATCGAATCTCTTTCTATCCGCATAAGCGAAAAGTTTTAGGTTTGATTTCTTGTCAAACTTGAATAAATTTTTTAATTGAATAAATTTTTTATTTTCTATTAAGTATATTAAAAATCTTTGATTTTATTTCCGTATATGACGTTTACACTCTATTTTACTATATCTTCGATTTTGAGGTCGCGCAGTTTCATCGATCAGATCGTTCGTTTGTCAATCGATCGAATGCAAAATGCGCGCAAGAAAACGTGAAAGTTTACACATCATCAGTCGAAATAACGGGATAGCGATTCTTGCCCAGTCGTAGATTTTGCGTCATACATTTTTGCGAGGTCGCGACACGCGGCAATTACAATATAAGATTCTCCGAACAACCGGATTGTACTGGTATAAACTAATTTTTAATTCGCACCAATAAAAAAAAGTGTGTTATTATCGCATTATTACGGAAAATTCATAAACAAACGACACAGTCTTCGTGGTTTGAGGAAAAACAAGATTCCGATGAATGTCAATAGAATTAGCAACTTCTTAGATAGAAAATCCAAGAACGTCTGAACACGCTATTGCTTCTCGGAAACTGCGCTTTTGAAAACGTCTGAAAACATCTTCTATTGCATCATCAATTTTTCCCGATTGCTTTTATTATTACATATATTAGTAAACGTAAGTACACTAATTTAATTTAAGTACTTGCGTTGATATAAACTAATATATCGGGGATGTACGTGAAAATATTGTTACACTATGTATAATATTTTTTTTAAACATGTAAAATTAACTCTTCGCAGACAGACATGGGTCCCACAAAAATTGCGCGTTGATGTCTCTGGTAAGAATTAATTTTTTTAAACGTTTATATTTTCGAAACTATCAGAGATTTTTTCACTTTGTTGTTTTTGACCGACGTTGTTTTAGATTTTCGTTTGTTTTGTTCTTGTACAATAATACAAAAATACTTTTATTTAGTACCTTTCGTGATCTGGCTATTTTCGACATCTTTTTATTTGAAGAGTCTTCAAGTTTTTCTGGCTTATAATAATAATAAAATAATAATAAATAGGGTTCCACTTTTAGCAGTCATTTACTTACTATTTCTGTTACCTGTAAAATATTTGGATATTTAATATCGCACAGATAACATTTTAGATCAAAAAATGAGATTTAAATTAAAAAAAAAGACTAAAAATTTATAAATCTAAATTTATACTAGTTTTCATATTTACGTGCTTGATGCATAAATTCTTTGGTAGTAAAGACAATGTCGAACCGGTCCAGTGATCTCGCGGTCTGCGAGTATGACGGCTGCGAGTAGGAAGATCCCGAGTTCTCGAATACACATAGATTCGGATTTTCCCGGACTGGGTTTATGTCAATTCAATTTGGAAAGAGAACTGAATCGGGTTTCCAATCAGCTTAAAGTGCTTAGAAGTACTTTTGGTGATCCGGAATTCACCTAAAATTTGTTTAGGTCCACGATTTTACAATCGGCGGCACAAGATTGTACTAGAATATAATATTCTCAACTACTATGCTCAACCACTGCAACTAATTACATTCTCCATCAAGCTCAGTTTTAACGCGCAATATAACGAACGTTAACTCGCGTAACTGTGGTTGGTAAGTTAATATTAGATTAACGAAGTGGTATTCGTTACATTTTTATTGTGCAGTTGAAATGTTTTATCATCTCGTCGGAGGATTACATCGATGATTGCGTGCGTTTTAGTACAACGCAAAAACCGTGACACGAAAGTGGAGCATGGCACCACCTTGAAAACGATATGTATTTACATACACACACACACACACACACACACACAACATATATACGTGATATATAGTCGAATTCTTGATGATTTCCTTGAACACACGACGTCAGGTGCATTGAGGAGAGACCCATGACCTCTACCACTATCATTGTCTTGGCCCATATACGTCGCACCTTCTTATCGGCGACGACCGCGTGATAAAACCAGTTTTACGTTCAGTCCCGCGAGCGTGGATTTCTTATTTTTCACGTTTTGAGAGGCGCCGCAGAGGCGCGGGTTTCTCGCGCACACATATTCAAGGAAGAAATTAGTGCAAAGCGTATAGGACGCGGCGGACGATAAACTCCGCGGTTTTTCTTGGTC